CGCCGGGCGCCGAGCGCCGAGTCCGCAGGCGGGGCGAACAAAGCGGCGGCGGCGAGGGCGGCCCAGGCCCCGGACTCGCCGAGCGAGCGACCCACCGGCCCTTTGTCTCGGGCGGGGCAGGAGAGGCGGCGGCCGCGGGGCGCCCCGAGCGCAGTATGCGGCGCCCGGAGGGGCGGATAGCGGGGCGCTGCGGCGGCGCGCGGCGCGGAGCCCGGCCTGGGGCCCGGGGGCGCCCGTGTGTGTGAGGGGGGGGTCCCGCGCGCTGTGCGGCGCCCACCCCGCGGCCGCACGTGGGCGGGAGCGGCGGCCCGCGAGGAGCCGGAGCAGGAGGAAGAGGAGGGGACGCGCGGCGGCGCAGCGGGGACCCCGGGCCGCCCGCGCGAAGCCCCGCCCCGGCCACCGAGCCCCGCGCGGGCGGGCGGGATGCCCCGCGGCCGCCGCACTTTGGCCCGAGCGCTGCCCTGAGCGGGCCGGCGGTGCGGCCGCCGCGGGCGCCATGGAGCAGTGGCGGCAGTGCGGCCGCTGGCTCATCGACTGCAAGGTCCTGCCGCCCAACCACCGGGTCGTGTGGCCCTCGGCGGCGGTGTTCGACCTGGCGCAGGCGCTGCGCGACGGCGTCCTCCTGTGTCAGCTGCTGCACAACCTCTCCCCCGGCTCCATCGACCTCAAGGACATCAACTTCCGGCCGCAGATGTCCCAGGTGAGGGTCCCGGCGCGCGGGCGGTCGCGGGGAGAGAGGGGCGCGCCCCAGGAGGCGCGAAGTTGACCAAAGTCCCCCAAGCCCGGGGCGCGCCGCTGCCGCTGCCGCCCGTGGGCACCGCCGGGACGCGCCCGGGACGGGTCTGTGGCGCCGGGGTGCGGGGAGACTCGAAGCCGGGCGGGGCGCCCGCCGCTGCCGCCCCCTCTCCGCGTCCCTCCCGGCCCCGGGGAGCGCGCCACGCCCGGGGGGGCCTCGTCGGGTGTCGCGTTCTCCGGCTTCGCGCCTGGTGGCGGGACAGTGGAGGACAGCGGGGCGCGGCCGGAGGAGTCGGGGAGGAGCGGGAGCCGGAGGGGCTGGAGAGAGCGGGTGGGCTTGGGTCGCCGCCTCCTCTTGGACAGGGCCGCGCAATTGGGTGCGAGCCGGAGCCCCCGTCGCTTCGCCAGCACCCTCAAGTGTGGCCTTTGTCGCGGCCGAGCGGTGTGGCTGCCGGCCGGCAGGAAAATGTCTGCGCGGCCGGCAGGAGCTGCTTTTTTTAGCCCCTTAAAGGGAACTTGGCTGAGACTTGAAGAGAATGAAGCTCGGGTCCTGCCCTCCTGGAGTCACAGAACGCCCACCCCCAGCTCCATTTGAAGGGGTCCTGGGTGCTCAAGGGGCCCCTGGGGTCTGGCCAGCACTGTCCAGGATAGATCTTCCTGTGAGCCCTGCAGCCCCTTCCTCTGTGGCCCACGGCAAGTCCGTGTGGACAACGGCCATTCATGTGTGACATCGGAAAGACGGTTAGGGAGAAGGAGGGATGGAGTGAGTCACGGCTTTTCCAGGCTGGGCTGCATGGCCTCTGCCCTTTGGCTGTGATTGCGTTTCCAAGGAGATGAGAGCACCCCCTCCTCCGGGGAGGAAGGGGGGTGGCTGCTGACAAAGAGGAGCCCTGAGAGGGTAGGGGGGCTGCTCTCCCACTCAGCGATAACAACCGAGGACCACGGAGGCAGGCAGCCTATTGAGGGAGCCCCGGGGGTGCAGGCATGCGGTCTCAGGGCTCCCCTTAGGTGCTGTCCTTAGGCTCTCTCATGCCAACTAACTCGCAGTCCCCGGGGCCTGGCGCCCTGCTGCACAGTACTTTCATAAACCCGTTCCTCACCTCTGTCCTCCCCTGGGGGTGGGGGTGGGGGTGGGGGCTGGGCTGGAGAAACTGAGAGCAGGAAGGGTTGCTGAGGGCAGAGCTGGCTATGGGCGGGAGTGTTTGCCTTTGGCTGTCAACCACAGGGGCTGCCCAGGCTTGCTGGCTCCTGGCGAGTTTCCTGGCTGATTGGCAGGGAGGCTGGGGCACGGGACACAGCCCGGGGTGGGTGGGTCCACACAACAGACGCTGGGCCTGGCTGGCCTCGGGGTCCTGGAGTTGCCCTTTTCCAGCTGGGGTTTGGGCAGGGTGGGGGAAGAGGGGGCCCTCCGGCTGTGGCAGGTGGCTTGGCTCAGCCGCTGTGCTGGAAGTGCTGGGACATCCTGGGGTCCCTGGAGCCGTCCATGGGGCAGCAACAGTGACAGCAGCACAGTCCCTTAGAGTCCCCTGTGTCCCAGCCTGGGTGAAGGGGTATCGAGGGGGACTTGGTGCTAGGGAGAACTGGACGGGCAAGGGTCTGTGTGTCTTCGTGGACGTGTGCTGATTGAAGCCTGGCACTGTCATCTTTCAGGTAGGTGACCACCCCTTGGGCCCTCAGTTTCCCCAGCTGTTTAATGGGAACAGCAATAGTAGGCGCCTTAGAGCCACCTTCTGAGGATTCCATGAGGTTAAGGCAGGGAATGTTCTCAGTGCAGTGTGGAGTTGACGTTAGCGACTTTAGGATGGTCCTCTAGACACTGGCAGGGATCACTGTCTTGACTGAGGGCTGGTCTCCCTGGCCTCAGCCCACCGGTCATCTTGTGGGGGGTGGGGTGGGTCACCCCATCTTTGTGTGTCTGTCGCTGGTGCAGGGATGGCTGCAGGTGCTCTGTCAACTTGCGTTCATTGGGTCTACCCCTTGGTTCCTTCTGTGTATTCCACAGTTAAAGAAACAATTCTCTGTACGAGGTATGGCTGTGCAGGGTTTGGGAGGGGAGCCTGGGGGGCCTCTCTGTGTGGCTGCTCTTTGTTATTTGGGAAGCTTGTCATCCCTAGAGCGGGGGAGGGAAGATGTCCTGTTGGTCCACAGTGCTTGGATCTCAAGAAGAGTCCAGGCTTCCCTTTCTTACTGGTCCTGCCCTGGGCAAGGCGCGATCCTGGGGAGGCTATGCCATCCCTGTTTTATAGATGAGGCTGCTAAAGCTCAGAGAGATCCAGTGACTTGCCTCGGGTGACACAGATTGGAAGAGGCGAAAGTAAATCACAAGCGTAGGTGTCCCTTGTAGGATTGCTGAAACTCATACGATTCCGCAAGCCTTCCTTAAGCTGTCTGGCTGACTTTCGGACGGACGCTCCTGCCGCGTGTCTGCTTCCTTGGGGTGGATGGGGTGTGGGGTGGGTGCCTGTTCTTCTGTGGAGATCTGGCTACTTTGCTGGCGAGTCCAGTCTGTGGGGCCGGAGGCCTGCCCAGCTCAGAGGCCTCCATGTTGTCCACTCGTTCCAGAAGGCCATGCTGGCTTCTCGTGGTGACATCCTGTTTTCAGAGGATAGCGTTTGGAATGTCCCTCCACTCCGAGTTGACCTCAGCTGGGTTATTGGCCCCAAAGGAGCATAAGAGCATGTGCACTTACGGGGCATCTGCTTTGTACAGAGCCGGAAGCTAGGAGGTGTTCACAGAGCAAGCCAAGCGGCCCCCTTGTCATGCCGTCCTGGAGCTGGCAGGCCGAGCTTTAATTTTTTTTTTTTGATCCAAAATGCCTGGAAGCCACCTTGGGTTTAATTAAACTAATTAGGTATGGCCACAATCTGCTGATCCTAACAAGAGATCACGTGTGTCTGGAGTGGCTTTGGCCGTGGAGGTCCTGAGGTTGCTGACGCCGGCAGACAGCCCCTGCGTTCCATCTTCAGTTTGAACCTGTAGGGCACCACCTGCCCAGCCTCTTGCCCACAGCGCCCTGGCAGGGCTCCTCCCCGGAGGACAGATTGGGAAGCCTGGCACGTGGGGCCCACCGGGGTTACTCTCCTGCCCACGCCTCCCGTCCCTGCCTCAGGCCTGTCGCTCCCCACTTCTGTGCCTTGGCCGTCAGCATCTGTTATGAGCCTTGCCCTTGCTGGTAGACCTCCCCTCTCTTTGCCTGGTTCTTCCTGGAGGAGATAGTCTAGAGACCCCTCCTCTAGGAAGCCTCCTCTGATTGCGCTCTCTTGTCCTGTGGCGTGGCGAGCTTGGCCGTGGCCCCCAGTGTACCAGGGGTATGTCGCTAACTCTGCACTTGCCGTGCTTTCACTCCACCCAGCACGTGGGGGCCACGCTCTTGCTGCTCACTCTGCAAAGCCCAGTCTGGAAGGGGGACTGGGCTGAGTCCCTCCTCCTGGATGTCATCTCGGGGGCCCGCGGAGCCCCGTGTGTTCCTTCATTCCGAGGCTGGCTTTGTGCCTTGGTGAGGGGCTTGGGGGCCGCCTGGGCCGCGTCCTGCTCGCATGAAGCTTCCAGGAGAGCGAGGGTGCGCGGCGGTGTCGCCCAGATGCCCGGGGCCGCAGAAGTGGCCTGCAGGTGGCCTGTAGGTGTCCGGGGGTCCCGAGCGCAGGCAGCCCGGGCCTGGACACTGAGGCTGAAGCGTGCGACACCAGGGCAGAGGGCAGCACCGAGGAACCCTCGCTCCTGTGGAAACAGGAAGTCTCTTGTCCTTTTCCAAATTTGAAAATATATTGGACTTTCGTAAGAACTCCATGTGCACACGTAGGTTTTTCTCACCCCAGGGGAGGTGAGTGGGAAATTTGGTGCCCTCCCCCCAAACGTTTCAGTGCGTCGCCCGCAAAACGAGGGCATTGTCCTCGGTGAGCGCAGCTCATCCCCTCAGCCCTGTCCCACGGGTGTCCCACTCACGCCTCAACGGGTGTCCCCAGAAATGCCGGTTCAGCAGAAGGGGAACCTGAGGGCTGCTGTGTGCACTTTTCCTCGGTGCAGCGCGGCTCTGCAGCCTTCCCTTGGTGTTCGTGACCTTGACACCCTGCAGGTTCCAGGCCCCGTCTGTTGCAGAACGTCCCGCCATTGGGTCCCTGTGTGTCCCCTAGGGATTAGATTCAGGTTGTGTGCCCGTTGGGGGACCAGGCTCGATGCTTCCCACTCCTGCTTCTGTCCTGCAGGCAGCAGGTAGCTTAGCCTTGTCCTGTTGCTGGGATGCTGCCCTCCCGGGCGGTGTCTGCTGGTCCTCTCCATGACGTTGCTCTGTCCCTTGTCGTTCACGGCTCTTCTCTCCAAGGGACTTGGGACAAGGTGCACCTCTGGTTTTTCCTTCCTCTCTCTCTTTCTGCCAGTTTGCATCATGGTTTCCTCTTTTATTCCCGGGATTATAATCTGTTACTGTCATTTATTTCCATGCTCACGTTGTCTCGGGTTCGACCCGGGGAACTGTTTCGCCGGCTGCTGTGCATCTTTTTGACATGTTCCCAGCATTTTCTTTCTTTCTTTGTTTTTTTTTTTAAAGATTTTATTTATTTATTAGAGAGTGGGGGAAGAGCAGAGGGAGAGGGACAAGCAGACTTCCTTGCTGAGCACAGAGCTGGATGCAGGGCTCGATCATATGACCCTGAGATCATGACCTGAGCCAAAATTGAGAGTTGGATGCCTAACTGACTGAGCCACCCAGGTGCCCCATGTTCTCAGCATTTTCTGAGCACTGCCCTCCTTTCTGGAGTGAGATGTCCAGACTCCTGTTGTATTATTCTTTGTCCCAGCTGAGGAGTCAGCCGTATGTCTCTGAGGAGCTCTGGTTCCATCGTGAAGAGGGGTGTTTAGAAACCAAGATCTGGGTGCTGGTGTGCGCACTGCTGCAGGCTGTCCCTGCTCCCAGGTGCTCTCCGTGGTGGGAGCTGGCTCGTGTGTGTGTGTGTGTGTGTGTGTGTGTGT